TACAGAATAAATCTCTCTCAGTATGAAAGTGATCCATATATTTTCACGCACCTTAACTCACTCAGTATCTGTTCCTACAGGAAATTCTTGAGCATATTTGGACTCTTAACACTTAAAAAACACAGGCATCTCTACAGTATATTGTTTCATGATTAAACAACTATTTTGAAGACCAAAGGCACCACATAACAAATGTTTTTATGCTGAGATAATAGTATATATTCACCATATGAAACACTCTTAGGACTTTCAGTCCAAGCATCTATTTTTAGTCATAACAGAGCCTTTCTGAAAGTTCAAGTAGGGAGAAGGACTGTACATATTTGACTTTAAACCAAAAAGTTTAAACACTCCTCTACATCACTAAATTTAGAAATAACAAACATGCCATTTACCATGCATCTGCATGAAAGTGAAGCATGAAATGATGACGACTCTATAAATTAAGACTGCTTACGGTTCAACAGGCAGGGGCTCTTTGGCAGCTTCTGCTAGCTCCTTCTGCAGCCTGGCTTGTCGTCTCCTAAGAAAAGGAATACAAGATTATTAAAAATAAATACAAAATTTTAAAAAGGAGTTCTCAATCCCATGCCAAAGATTATTCTGCACAGTTCTGATGGGCTGCATAAGATTTAAAAAAAAAAAAAAAGAAATAAATCAGACCACTGCCCTAATTTTATCCTGCTTTTTGAGACACCCGGTGCGGAAGAGGCTGTTTTTTTACTGTGAATAGCAAAGGACAAGATCAGTGAAGTGAGGCAACAAGGCAAAGCGTACCTACAGTCCCACATGAATGCAGATTTACTTGAAGTGCAAGAACTTGCATAAATAACAATTACATTAGCAAAGATAATACAAAACTGCCAAGAACTACGAGACTTGTATTGTCCACGTATTGTTAGCCAGCAGGTAAGCTGAAATAATTCAGAAGAACATGAAAAATTCTTATTTTGCAAGGAAAAAACAAACACACAAACTTATTCTTGCAAGTTATACATAGCTTAGTCTCATGGCAGCTGCTCCTTTTAGTGGAATGCAAAAACCACTCAAGTTGCTGAAGTCCAAAAAGGATAAAACTCAAGAGTAGTACCAAGATGCAATATGAACAAGAGAAGTCCGAACTTAATACCAGCAAAACCACTCCAGTTTCTGATTTATGATCTTCAGGCCATAGTTAAATGTTGCTCAAGAAACAAGAGAACACATTTTATTCATTTAGAAGACAGAAATGTTTTCCCAAAGCATCCATCTGTGTCGGCCAGGAGGAACACAAAGTTCTGGGCTCTCATTGTATTGTGCAAGAATACAGAGATCTGAGATCAAAACTAAATCTGGTTTTATCCTACTGACTCATAAGTGTTTAAAAATACACTGGGAAGCAGTTTATCAAATAAAGGACACCAATCTCACCTTGAATCCTTTTCATTTTCTGCATTCAAACGATTGGCTTCTTGTGCTTTCTCTGCCATCCAACGCGAGACCAGCTCCTGGTTGTCTTCAGTAGTTTTCCTCAGCTTCTCCTCCAAGGCATTGAAGGTGATCTGGAGAGCATCATACTCATCTTTCAGCGTCTGATTAGCTCGCTCAAGATCTTGCAGTTTGCTACGCAACTCCTGGCACTCTGTTTCCAGTTCAGAGATCTTTTGCAAATACTCTGCAATCCTGGAACGGCAACAAAATATACAAAACAATGAGCATCTCCTTGGGGACCATCTTTGTGCTATTTGCCCAAAGCCCAACCAAGGACTCCTAGAGAATATTATAACGTTAACAAGCAACCAGAAGTCTGGGTTTCATATCAACCACACGGACCAAACCATTCCTACTCACTTTGCTTCGTTCATCTGCATCTCTTTGTCCTTCTGCTGCATTTGGTTATTCAGATCAATTACAGACTGGGCCAGCTAGGGAAAGGAGAAAATTACATTACTAAGTGCAGGGATGCCAGCTGGGTAACACACACTGAGCAGCAACCAGCGAGAATACAGACCAATCTAACATTACAAGCACGAGGCCTTTCAGGTCTCCTATCACAACTTTCTGTATAGATCTGTTTACAGCTCCTGTCACGCAGGTCATGAAATCAGGGCATCCGCTTTCAAAACTGAGTTGTCGAAAAGTTACTGCCCTTTGAAACTTCACTCCCTTCCCTCAAAAAGTTGCTTTAATAATTCTTCAAGCAGAATGCACATTAGGACAAAATCTTAAAGTAGTGGAAAAATCAATATAGAAACTAAAACTTGCAAAGTAAGCAAACCAACAAATGAATACTAACAACCAAGCACCAAATCTTCCTGTTACAGCCAGCAGAGCCATTACAGGAGACACGTAGTTCACCTACTGTAAACACAAATTTCACCAAGAGTTTTCCCACAAAGAAAGCTGCTGGTGGAGTCTCCGCAGCACAAAGGATATAGAGGGGCAGAGGCCAACACTAATGAGCAGCTGCTGCCAGCTCACAGCTCCCCAGCGAGCGAGCAGCAGCCAGCCCTGCAGCGAGCAGAGCCTTGGCTGCCTGGGGAGAAGGCAGCCTGGGCTCCGAGAGGAGCTCCTGCCTGGGCACACGGCTCAGGCGACCAGGCTCGGGGAGGAGGGCAGCATTTTCAGTGTTCCAGCTGGCCAGTGCACACTCACAGAAAGCCCCCTTCTCTCTGAAAAGCTCAGAATTACAGACACTGGAGCTCCTCCACAACTGCAGTGAGGTGTGATCGGAGGAGCATGATAACATTTTCCAGATGACTCCCACCTTCTCCTTATAGAAGTCTGCAGCACCTTTCAGGCAGGTACTAGCTTCTGGGCTCATTCAATCCACTGCTGTGGTTTTGAAAAAAACAATTCTGCCAATGAAGCCTCCACATCACAAGCAAAAAAAAAAGACAAATATAGCTCTTCCAGGCCCAAGTTTCACAGCTTGCAGGACTCCTGGGCTCCCTAGCGCACTTACATGCAGAACCAGCTCTCCTTTTTGTCCAAACCCACAGCATTTTTAACCTCTGCTTGCTTGTGTACTTTGTCCACTCTATAGCAGTGGTCCTGCAAAGTAAGACAATTGCAACCACATACAGCCACCTATTCTCTCATTCATTCCAGGCCTTTTCAGTGTAGAACTAGTGGTCACGTGCAGCTCTAAACTGGACCAGTTCCTTCCTCCTTTAATAAATACAGTTAAAAAAAATATTCATAAAACACAAAATTAAGTGCTTCTTAAAAAATCACGCTATGCTGACAACGTAAGCTCTTATTTCCTGGCTGTCAGTTTTAAAGACCAGCCATCTCTGGTTTATTTTAATCATCAACATGGTGAGCTTAAAAAAGCTGTACATGAAATGAGGAAAAAATGATGATGAATAAGTTTGTGAACACGATATTGTTTTTACCAAAAGGCCGTGCATGGACCATAAAGAACCCAAGAGGACTTTCTAACCTCGCCACGTTTCTTATGCAGCTCTGTCAACTCCTCTTGATGTTTTATCTTCAGCTGTGCCAGTTCCTGCAATTGAGCATCGTTCCACGTGCCATCGTGTCCCGGGCTAAAGTTTGAGAGGAAGAAGAGATGTCACAAACTAGAATCCAATGATTTCTGTGCCTTTGACGCTTAGTCCCAGGACATTACCTCCCTTGGATTTTCTATACTGCACCAGAGACACAGCTCACCCATAAACTAAACCACAGCCAGCTCCCCCACAGCACACTTCTTGCCAACCAAAATCCCATCTCGTAGTACTGGAAAATTAAACGTACCGAGGACGCGATTTACCTTTTTGTACATTTCTAAAACAGAATTCAAACTCAAAGGAAAGATAACTAGCTTTTGGTTAAACTTGCATCAAGACAAATGAATCTTAAAAATATACTCTCCAAATTGTGGAAGAATTACAAATATTTTATCACCTCAAAATTTGTTTTGGAGGGAGCTGGTGGACCTTGAAGGTGCCAGATATCTGGACAAAGCATAATACAGGACACAGACTCAAAAGCCAGGAACTATGTGTATATTCCCAGGCCCTTGGGTTTACAGGCCCAAGTGTTACAAATCACCTCTCCGTTGACATTGCTATGTTCTAGCCCCTTACTGTGTAAGGGTTTTGGGACCTTTTTTACCTGTGTTTTACAGCCCACTGGTACCCTAAACAACTATGACTGTAGTATTTATCATGTATGTCTTTGAAAGCAGAGACAGCAACAGAAGTCAGTTTTTAAAAAGCATATACACACATATAGACTGTTAGCACTGATATTTTAAAACTATTAAGTTCATCGCTATTGCACCAGACAAACAGAACAAGGTAACTGCAAGCATCTGTTTCTGAAGTCACTTTGTGTTATAACAGTCCAGCGGGAAACAGATAATGCAATCAGAAGCTGGAAGGTCTCACAGTGGTGTCAGTAACTTAATGCTCTTATCAAAGAGAAACAAACAAACAAACAAACAAACAACACCTCACCAAATTAACACTGTACTAGAATACACTGCATTTCCAAAAAACTGTGTCCAGCAAATAGGAAGACAAGTCCTGTGGTAATATCTGTAGTAATATCCAACACATCCTGGCTGTGCAGACCTCTATAGCCAGGACTAGAGACTCATCCTTGGCCTTAAGGGAAGTAAATGCATTTTTGTTCAGCTATCTAGTATTAGGGAATTCATTCTGTTTCAAAAAACCATGATATACCGAGGACGGTATCAGAGTTCAGCTTACTATTTCTTTGAAAACGCTGCTTCTGTACATTTCTTCTCATCCTCCTCTACTCCAGCCTCATCTCTTACAACAGGCGAACAAACAGAATCGGGTTCCAATAAACTAAAGATGGTTTAAGACAACTGCAGTCATCAGAAAGTTTTTGAGAACACCGACACAGGCGTTAACTCCAGCTTGCTGGCCAAACATTTTGCTGGCAATTCCTGTAAAATCAGGAGTTCTTCTTTCTTTACTACACAACAGCCTTTATTATATTTATGTGGCTTGTATTCCTATTAGACGCATAAAGTTTTGCATTATATAGCAAAAGGAGTTTCAAAGGAGGAAGCAATTCCAACAGGAGTAGGAAATTCTTTGCTAATTAGCCCTGTCTTCAGCTACACCAAGAGCAGAACCCAACAGTTTTGACCTGCTGAGACTTACACACTGTTCAGGCAAAGGACACACTACCAGCGTATCGGTTTGCAGTGGACTCAAATTCCAACAGGATAAGCGGCAGGACCCCTGCCTACAGCTCCAGAGGGCTACTCCCGCGTTAGAGAGGAACTTTGCTGAAAAGAACTCTGCTAAAAGCAGAAAGATACATTCTTTTTAGCACATGGTGCTTATTTAGGACTGACATTTCACAACCATGATATTCTCCATCCTCCTCTTCTATGCAATACCAGAGACTGAAAGAAGATCAATTTCTCCCTGCGCTGCAATGCCTACAAGATCAAACAATTTCAACAGTCATATTATCATCAGGAACTAGCAACAGGCAGGCATTATAAGCACGACAAGGCGAACAGATCAGAAGGAGAAGCTCATTCTGGTCCACCTCCACACCCTGAGTTTGTGATGATAATTTAATTTCTGTCTAAAACTTGGTCAGATCTTTCTGCACCGGGTACTGTAAATGTATGGTAATTTTATTGCAAGTTTAGTTATAATTTATTTTTAGTTCAACAGATTTCCCAGTTTGTTTTATTCCAAGTTACTCTAGTAACCAAGGACTTGTTTGTGCAATGCATCGGGCAACAGTTTAGGTTACAGCGTGCACGACAGAGAGCTGACTGGCAGAAAAGGAATTTTAAGTACCTGATCTCATGTCTGCTCTGCATGTCATATTTTTCTGCTTGAAGCTTATCAGCCAGCACTGCATGAAGGTCTGACTTCTCTAGTAGCTTGTTATCTGAAAGGGCAAAAAGTACAATTAAGAAGATATCAAAACAGCAAAACCAGATTGCCACCCTTGAGATGCTACGTAGCATCTTTAATTACTTTAACACAACCAAACATTACGTAAGCCTCCACCACATCAGGGTGCACTCCCCTTTGATGTCAGCAGGCTAAGGCAGCATTGAGCTACAACTCCAAGAATTCCTCGTGAATTCAGACGCCGTGTGGGACTGGTCTTACAAAAGCCTAACAGAGAGGCTACTCGCGTCTATTGCTGTCTGCTAAAAGCGAAGGAGCTCAAAGTTTAAACTCTTTATCGCCCCTCGAATGATAGCAACAAGGAAAACAGACCTGCCAGAGAGCGGGTCAGGTTCAACAGCGCACAGTCCTGCCCAGGCTGGGCTGCTTTCCCCCAGAAAACACCCAGCACCGCTCCCGGCCCCTCCTGTGCAGCCCGGCCAGGAGAGAGACCGGCAAGCGAGCGCTGGGCAGACAGCGCTGGCCCCTCAACAGCTCCAAACCTTACAGGAACGTGGTGACCGCGTTCAGCAGCACCGCTG